CATTCTTCTTCCCTTTCCTTATTGGCCTCCAATTTAACTTTCCTTCCTCTTCCTTTTATTTATAAATATAAAGCTCAAGCAACAGATTGACCAAGCCAATAATTATGTGAAATTGATTCATCTATGTTACTGAAATAATTCATCAATAAAATGCTTTATGTATAACACTTCTGTGAAACTACAAGTTCCATTCCCTAATCATGTAAATACTCCTATCTTCTTGTAAACATTTAATTCATCGCTGCTTTCTAAACTTGTTTTTCAAACTCTTTACCCACTTCTTCTATCAAACTCCGCACTCTAATCACTGCAGTGATCAGTATGCTCACCCATGACGGTAGTTTAGAACATATGATTCTGAGTAGAGCTGACTAGTAAGTTTAGAAAAAGAAGTTTGTATTGATCACAATTAAATCCTGTAAGATGGAATTTATCCCTTGAGTCTCTGCCCCAAACTTGATTTAACATTCTCAGGAAACTAGTACATAAAGAAAGAATTTTAAATTTTGTCCAAGATGCATGTTTTGGATGATCCAAACGATTTAAGAGGGGAAATATCTTGCACTAGGGCTTGATGACTTTATGACTTTGAACACTTGGGCGCTAAGGTAATAACACTGAGAATTTTTATATGGCTGAATTGCTTTCTACATGACTAATCCAATGTGTTTAGCATCTACTACATTCCAGGCACTATTTTGCAATCCTTGCAATAACTCTAAGAGGTAACTATTTTCTCTTTTCATTGTACGGAAACAGAAACACAGGGGTGGTAAATAACACATGTAAGGTTACTCAGCTAAGAAGTGCCTTTGCAATGATTCTGAACCAAATCTTCTTTACTCCAATATCCATGATCTTGGGAATTTTAATTTATTGTTGTTTTCTTTTTTTAGTTTTTAGTCGCTGTTATTTTTATAGGAACAAACATTTGTTCACTAATTGTTATAGTCAAACATTCACATTGTTGAACATTTGGAAAATTTAATTCACATATAATCCTACAACTAAAAAAAGCAACTGTTAGTATTTTGTTGCAATTACTTATAATCACATGTTACAACTGAATCATGCATCTAACTATAAGCACTATAATATAAGCAGAGTCTCTGTGTATAGCCAGGCCAACGATGCACTGTAATAGCTCCAAGGGTCACTATCACACATAGATAACAATGTGTATGTAATATACCTGGAGCTGTGCAACACTCTGGTCCTAATTATAAGCAATTGTTTATTTCTAGCTGTAAGTTAATGTCTACATTATATAATCTATATATTCAATAAAGAGGCCTGAATAATATTCAACTTAATTATTCCTTTATTATTATATACCTGGCTTTACCCCCAGTGTCTGGTTATCATAAAGAGTATCACAGTGAATATATATGCATGAATATTTATCTGCATTTTAAATAATTTTCTTGTTATATATTGCTATAAAGGACATCAAGGAGGAGGAACATTTTCAAATTTTCCACCTCACCAGATGATGTTCATTCTTTGGTCTTGAATGTAGGGAGTCTGCCGACAGTCATTACTTTCTCCAGACATTTTCCTTTTTATGTCATTTAATATGGGGGAAAGAAAAGGGAAAAACAAACAGATAGTGTCTGTTGTTATATTTAGTTCCCCATCTTAATTATGTTCTCCATAGACTAATGTTACATACAGCTCATTCATAGGTTAAGTAAGAAATGTTGTGTATGCCATCGGGTTGATTCCAACTCACAGTAACCCTATAGAACAGAGTAAAACTCTCCAATAGGGTTTCCAAGGCTGTAATCGTCACGGGAGAAGATCACCAGGTCTTTTCTCCCATGGAGTCTCTGGTGAATTCGAACCATTGATCTTTAAGGTTAGCAGCTGAGGGCTTAACCGTTGTGCCACCAGGACCTCTTAAGTAAGAAATAGGGTGAAGTTTTTGAGATATGCTACAGAGCAAAACATAAGAAATTGCATAATTTTATTTTGTATGTGAAATCTAAACAGTAGATAGACTACGAAAATAGGCTACATTTATAAATTTGGATGCCATTATTTCTAGTCAAGAAAAAAAAAACTAATGTACTTTTTTTTATATTTAGCAAAGTCCTTAATATTGCTGGCTTTGGGTGCTAACAGATGCCTGCATAACATGTATGCTTTAAGTTTATTTACCTAGATAATTGCTTTAACTATCTGGTTGCTTTGCTTATTTAGATCTGTCTGTATAGATAATGTGAAATTAATGAAAATTAGCACTGCCAAATTGTTGGGAATGTGAGCTATAAAAATGTGATGCCTTATGGTCCACATTAAACTATATAAGCACTGAACAGCTAATTATCTCTCTATACCAACTGTGATAGAAACAACAATATAGTTCTCCTCCAGGCATTTCCAGTAGAGGAGGCCCTTACAACTTAAAGGCTGAAAAGGATATCCATGATGAAGGTAACTTGGGATGAATTATTAAATACAGTTGGACTAAAACTACTTTTCAAAAATTAGCCCATCCAATGAGGAAGAAAAGGTTAGCAGCAGAGGGCTTAACTGTTGTGCTACTGGGGCTCCTTAAGTGAGAAATAGGGTGAAGTTATTGAGATATGCTACAGAGCAAAACACAAGAAATAGAGAACCCCTACAACTTAACAACAGACAAACAACCCAATCAAAAAATAAGCAAAGAACTTGAATAGACATTTCACCAAAGAAGAAATACAAATGGCTAGCAAGCACATGAGAAGATACTCAATGTCATTAGTTATTAGGGAAATGCCAATCAAAACCAGAATGAGATGTCACTTCACCCGTTACTAAGATGGCTATGATTACAAAAAAAGGAAAACAACAGATGTTTGCCAGGGTATGGAGAAATTGGAACACTAATTCATAGTTGGTGGGATTGTAAAATGGTACAGCTTCTTTGGAAAACAGTTTGGTGGTTCCTCAAAAATTAAACATAGGATTACCATATAATACAGCAATTCCATTTTTAGCTATATACCCAAAAGAATTCCAGATAATTACATACCATTGTTTATTACAGTACTATTCACAACAGCTAAAACGTGAAAAGAGAGTAAATGCTCATCACGGGATGAATGGATAAACAAAATGTGGTCTATACATCCAATGGAATATTGCTCAGCCATAATGAGAAAGGAAGTCTTCATACATGCTACAACATGGATGCACCAGGAAAACATAATGATGAGTGAAATAAATCAGTCACAAAAGGACAAATAGTGATGATCCTATTTATACAAAATATCTAGAATAGGCAAGTGAATAGAGACCAAAGTTTATTAATGGTCATCAGGGGCAGGTGGGAGGGAGGGCAAAAGGGGGACTCATTGCTTATGTGACTATCAGCTTCTGTTAATGGTGAGGAAATTATAGTAGTAAGCTTGGGCAATTATAGGGCTCATCAGGTTTGTTTCTCATCTCTGTGTTCACTGTCATTCAATACCTGATGTCAAGTGTCTTGAAGACTATTTTTTTTCATATATATATATTTTTTTCAGGTGGGAGGGTAAATCTAATCCCTGTTACTTTTGGGGGGGCAGAAGTGAATCTTGTTCTATGTAACCTTTTCAAAGAATATTACTTGCATAGATGTGGTGCTATAAGTTGTGCAAATGCCCTAGAGAGCCCAAAGTAATTTATGTTTTTCAAATAAGGAAGCACACATATCGTTTGTAATTTGGTATAATACATAGGAGTTAAAATGTAAATCAAAATTTTGATTGTATTTGAAATTTAAAGAGATTTTATCACTGGATTTTGTCTATTATTTTTTATTGAATTTATACTTTATCAATGGAATGTATTCATTTTTGCTAATTTGCAAGAAGCAGAGCATTTAAATGCAATATTCAGTGTGATTTTGAGGATAAAAATAGGGCACACATATAACATTTTTCTTCTGAAGATAGTTCAACATATATCACAGATTTTCTTCAAAATTGTAGTGTTTAAAAATCTGATTTTTTTTAATTGCCCAATGAGAAGAGACAATTTATAAGATAGAATAAAAAAGCTGTCAACTTTAGAGTCATAGCAGTGGAACTAGAGGGCTTTTCACTAAGTAAAGGAAAGAAAAATGAATTTTCTCATAAGTTTTAGTGAAATTTAAGATGGGTAGCCTTTGTGAGCCTGCTTAAGCTGATTTATAATGCATGCAGTTTTTAAAATGTGAAATATTTAAGAAAAATATCTATGTATTTAATGCATTACTGGTTGAATTATGGTGTTGGCAAAGAATGTTGAATGTACCATGGACGGCCAGAAGAATAAACAAATCTGTCTTGGAAGAAGTACAGCCAGAATGCTCCTTAAAAGCAAGGATGGTGAGACTTCATCTCACATACTTTGGACATGTTATCAGGAGGGACCAGTCCCTGGAGAAGGACATCAAGTTTGGTAAAGTAGAAAGTTGGGGAAAAAGAGGAAGACCCTCAGCAAGATAAATCGACACAGTAGCTGCAACAACGGGCTCAAGCATAACAATGATTATGAGGATGGCGCATGGTTTCATTTTGTTGTACATAGGGTTGCTCTGAGTTGTAACCCACTCCAAGGCACCTAACAACAACAACAGGTACCAAAGAAGATTGATTAAATCATTTTGACAGAATTTGTCTATATAACTCACTCCAAGTCTTCTGTGATGGCTGTCAAGATAGGAGTGATCTGGTTAGTAAGAGTTGAGTTCAGGTTTCAGCTTTTTCAATATTAAACTATATCTCCCACATGATGTAAGTGTTCCAATGAAGCAGTTAGGGGAGAGGAAGTTGAAGCACTGCATTTTTTGTTTCTCATAAGCACTGAGTCTATATCATTACTACACTGCTAAATAAGATTGAATTGAAACAATCCTATAGGTTTGTTCCAACTCCCTGCATTTGGAGAACTAGCTAGTCACAGGCATAGCACAGTCTAAGAGTTATATGAGAATGAAATACATTTGCTGTTTTACTAATAGTTATTTTCCTCTTTGTTTTTCTCCTTCACAGACCACCACTTTGCAGGTATAATTTTGTACTTAAAGAAAGTGAAGAAGTATTTCTCAATCTAAGCATATGCACATCAAAGGAGATATAAGTAAAAGGCTTTCTTCCATCAAATGTGACAACTGGATTTGTTTGTGAATTAAAGAATTTGTAAAGGGAACAAGGCATTCATTATTTCTTTTAGAATGCATCATTCACTCTGGGATTTAGATGTTTCTACTTCTTGAATACATTTGTAAGATTATAGAAAATAAAAATGTATAGGCTAAAGCATTCTGAATCTGCTCTAAAAGCTGTTTCTATGTTTATCTAGTTGTCTTTTTTTAAATTGTAAATTTGTCATTTGGAGAAATCGCTTGGATTAATGTAAACTTCATAAATACCAAAATCAGTTGCCCTTTATACACCTTCTGTTTCAGTATCTTCTTGGCGTTTTTGTAAGTGCTTCGTAAATAAACGCTTTGATTCTATGGCGCATGATAAGCTAGGGGTATGTGATGCTTAAGGTCAAATCCCGGCCCCACCACTTACTAATGGCTGTAGTTGAGTAAACAAATTTACTTCCCCATGTCAAGCTACCTAAACAGATTTTGTTAAGATTGATTCAGTAAAGCACTTTGAATACTGTCTGGGAGGAGTGATAATAACAAAAATAGCGATAGCTAACCCTCTTGTGAGGGTGGCATAGGACCGGGAAACGTTTAGTTTTGTTATACGTGGGGTCTCTATGACTCAGAGCCAACTCAACAGCAAGTAACAACAACAACATTTATATACATCATTGTATGCCTGGCACAATTACAATACTTTTACATGTTAACCTACTTAATCCTTACGAAAAGTTGATGAGGTAGGCGTTATTATCTCCACTGGTGAAGTAATTCAGACTCAGAGACATTAACTGACTTATGAAGGATCACAAACAGAAACCTAAAACGTTTGGCTCTAGGGTGCATCTTGTTAAGCTCTGTTAATAAGTTTCTCCGAAGTTCATTACAGTATGTTAGCTGTTATTAGCTATATTTACAAATGATCACATCCAAATAACCATCTGAATGTCCTTGGCTTTCTCCCACTTACCTGTTCAGTCCAGGTATTCCTGGGCCTGAGGTCTCTCAGTTATATCTAGGAGTTTCTAAGGCTTGTTTTGTGTGTGTTTCTAAACCAGCCTGTCAACTACAGTCCCATTCTCCGTCCTCTTGATTTCCTGCCATGACCCCTACCCTCATAATCATGTCTTTTGCCTAATAAGCCACTCGAAGGTGACTTGAGGCCACCACTGGTGCCTGTGTGGAAAACCTTGTGATCTAAAGGCCTTAGATGTATGTTCCAGGCAGAAACAAGGAGAAAAGTCTTCACTGTCCCTAGGGATTTAAGCATTGCCGCCTGAGCCTCTATTGTCCCACAGAGTCCTTCTTGGGAACAGCTCCTTCTGTTTCTGCTACAAGCCTTTACCCTGCAGGCTATGACTCCAGTCCACAAAGCTGCCTTTCTCTGTCTCCTCTCTGCTGGTTAGACTTCTGCTGACAAACTCTCCACATTCTAAAGAAAAACAGAAACGTCATGTAATTTCACCATTAGTTTGGCAGATATCACCAGAAGCTTTTGAAACTCACTTTGTGACATTAATAACATTTAAAACTGAATATAATGTACCATGTGTATGTTACCAGAGGAAGGAATCTTGCACCAGTATTCCTGATTGATTAGAGACTCTAGGTAATCAGAGAAGGGACATCCAGCTTGTCTCTTGGTATACTAAAGGATTGCATGACCCTCATAAGGAACTTCCTTGGACATAGGCAATACAGCCTTCCAAGGATAACGCAAAGATGTCAACTGACAAAATGTTTATAGCTTCCCATATTACAATATCTTCTCTAGTAGCCTCCTAATTTCTTCCATCTTTTTTCAATGAAGGCCAGAGACAAAGCATCGAGTGTTTGTCTTGAGAGTGGTGGGGGAGGTAATCTCCTTTGACCCTGAGCTAACATTTTTAGTTCTATTGGTTTTTCTAAATTTATGGATATCATAAATCAAAATTAGAAGTAAAGAGGGGAAAAATGTGCTCCTCAGAGGACTGTGGCACAGTGATTAAGAGCTCAGGCTGCTAACCAAAAGGTTGGCAGTTCAAATCCACCAGCTACCCCTACGGGGCAGTTCCACTCTGTCCTATAGGGTTGCTATGAATTGGAATCGACTTGACGGCAGCGGGTTTGTTTTTTTTCCTTTCAGAGGACCATAACGCACAGCTATTCTATAGCAATTATCTGGGACAACAAAAAGAACAAACAGCCATTATGCACAAGATAGGTTATGCCAGGCTTCCCCGAAGACATGATGTTCTGGATCAGACACAGATGAGGCAGAGGGATAAGATTGTTAATTTCTTTGCTTTCATGATGCTTACGGAACGCAAGTCTTGGAATCCGAGTCAGCATTGTCTTTCAAAGCCCTCTCGACAAGGTAGTTTGATACATTTTTGGTGAATTTTAGGATTTATTCAACCAAATCATGCATTACCTATTTTCTTGATGTGCCTTCTTTGTGTTTCCATTGAATTATCAACTTTTTATCTAAAAAAGCACCCAAAAAGCAACAAATTATATTTTTTGTGATCCACAATGGTCAACTAAAATGGAGAGTGAACACAATTAAAAGCCAATCAGATTTGTTTTTTAATAAATTGCATTAACCAAATAGGCTTCAGTGTTATTCTAATTTACTGTTGTCAGTATAGACGAGGCATAATTATGTAAGTGTACCTATAATTAGCTATATTTATAAAAGTGTTTTGATGGGTCATAACACCTAGGGCTTATTAATCTTGCTTTTTCACATTTTTACAATTATAATAGCAAATACATAATGAAAACTTGCTATGAGGTGGTCTTTCCCATGTAATATTTCATTACGTCCTTACAAATGCCCGACTATTTATGTGTATTTATCACCCTTAGTGATGGAGGGGAGAAAAAGAGAAAAAATTCCTTTAGAAGATTGGTGATACTTGAAAGATATGTTTTGCATTTTGTTGTGTTTTGATTGTTATGCATTGAGTATATAATATGCATTCCGTACATGTTTTTGGCATAAATAAATGGATAACAGAGGTAAGTCAAGTCTTTGGAAAAGAAGCACAGGTCGAAAAGAGGAGCCTGGCTCTGAGAAACTGTGATGAGGTTGATAAATGCTTGTCAACTGACATTAGGTTGCTGAATGTGACTGTCAGAAATAGCCACATGTGCTGGTTTTCTGAAGCATCCTTTTAGGATCTTAGGAAGAAGACAGTGCTAAACTTTTCTAAACACCTGGGTTTGGCCCCACATGCTTTCCCACGTGGAGTAAATAACACTGTCAGAGAACATCAGGGGACAACTTTGGGGGTCTATAATATCTAGGACTTCAAAGTATAGATAACATTTTCATTCATCTTTTTTTTCCCTCATTTTCCCTGTGAACATGTGGGATTTGAAAAGAGAAGAAAACCTGGGAGGCGAACAGCTGGTTATGCAGATGGCATTGATGAACTGAATTTGGATTTCAATATTATGTCTTAAGTTTCTGGAATGCTAGGCTCTTGGGTAGGGGTAGAATTATATTTCATAGGGACATGGAAGAATTGTTTGCATGCAGGCTAGCAGTCATGATTAAAGTACTTTAAATCAAACATAATATTGCAGAAAGTGTTCGAAGCTTCAAAGCAACAGACCGTCTACCAGATTCAGCAGTACTCCAATATTCTTCCAGATTTCCTTGTTTGAACCCCATCAACACCTTCCAGTTCATAGTTCAGATTTGCCTTTGCACCTTGCTTCTCACATAGCCCCTTTCTTAGCCTTTTCTTGTTATTTGTCCCAACCTCACCCCACCTTCACCACTGCCTCTTTCTCTGTGTCCCCAGAGAGACTATTCCATGTCTCCATTACAGCATGGGGTATTATAACTCTGCTTACTTGTCTGTCTCCATCACTAGAATTATACATTATATATATATATTATTATATTATGTATATATAATATATATCATAAAGCATGTATTATACATCTTTGTATTCTCAGGGTCTAGCAGAATGCCTGGGCTAGTTAAGAAAGTCCATAAATACCTGTTGAATGATAAATGTGAAATTAAATAAATGAAAGAGTAAGTTTTTTTTTAGCTTTGTATGAGGGGAAAGTGGGCAGAGAATAGCGGTTCCAGGCTATTTAGAAGAACAAAATGTTCAGGTGGTTCTAGTTACAGGTCAGCAAGTTCCCAGAGTACAGCAAATCTAACACTATGTCTCAACCTATTTTTAAAGAATGCAGTAAAACCAGATTTTAGTTAAGACAAATGCAGTCCTTATTAATAATTCAGAAATGAAGTTTTGAGAAAAAGATCTTCCACATATATTAGTAAAGTATTAAAGCACTCCTGAACACTAAACACGTAGAAGAATTATACGTTTTAGGTATTTCCTTAATAACTCTAGCAAAAGAGAGCATTTGAAGGTAAACAAAGTCTGCTGCAGAGATTGTAAATCACTGGACCTTTGTCAGTTGAACTTGGCATAGTAATATTTTAAAGGTTTTTATTATTAAGATTTGTTAGTATTATGATACTCTTCAAGAATTGGGAAGAGAACTGTTTAATTGGGAAAATGTCCATGGAAAAAGTTTTCAAGGTGATAGTTGCCAAAGTGAATGAAGAATGAAGAATCAGAAAGTAGTTTCACTCTTAGCAGAATATTCTTTGAGTAGAGGATATAGAACAGAGCGAGAGAGGGAGAAGTAGAGTTTATTGAGAATATATTTTATTTTAATCACCAAAGTAAATGCATTCTCAGAACCATGTGACACACAGGACACTGTCCCAGAAACTTTTATTCTAAAAGTCAGAATTCAGTTTCTGTTAAATAGTGATTCACCAAACATAGGATTATCTTTCAACCTTATTTACCTACAGCCTAATCCTCTCCATCCAACTGATAAATTAAAAAAAGAAAAAGCAAAAACACTTGATAAATGTTTATAGATTTGCATATAGGCACAATTCTTAATATGAAGTTAAGAGTAGAAAAATTATTTGCAAACCAATTCTGGGTTATGATG